ACTTGTATCGGACTCGACTGATACGGTGAAACATGCTTAGAAGCGAATTCAAACTTACTACGAATTCAAATAGATATATATATATATATATATATATATATATATATATATATATATATATATATATATGGGTTTAAAACAAAATTGTTAGTTTGAACCCATGTATATATCAATTTAGCATGTGTACAATTACAATTAACCTGTTTAGGTAAAATCAAATAAAAATATATTACATACTATTTGTACTATTTATGTGAAATCAAATAGATATATATATGGATTAAAAAGAAAAAGCTATTCATCCATATGGTCAATGAGAGATGAAAAATTCATTTTGTAAAATGTGAGCGATGAAAAAAATCATTTTGTGAAATGATGGATCAAATTATGTAAAATTTGATTTGACAATTTTGTTCCTAAAAAATAATCATGTACAAGACATGTGGTGAATTCAGGTAAAAAACTAGTCAGAAAGTTAGTTAGGAACTAAATTTTATTAATATAAATTTATAAGTAACGTAAAATTACATTTTTAAAAGTGAGGGACGAAAAAGTTGTCATTGTTGTCATTTAGTACAAAGCAAAGGAGTGTTTAGAGAACAGCAATCATTGTTATCAGAAGATATACTAATTTCATAAGATTAAACCAAGCCCTGATTTCGTCAACAACTCTACGGCTTTTTTTTTCCTATTTGTTATCCCTCTTTTGGTCTGGAAAGGAATACTACAGTGTTAACACGGAATACCTATCGGTGAAAGAGTATTGCCCCCGGCCCCTCCGGGTTCGGTCCCGTGGTTGTAGTCCCAGTTGGGGGAGAGCCACGTCCAGGGATCGAATCCCAGCACTACCGCGGCTGGTGATGCTTGGGGCAGGCCGCTCCTAGCCCACTGTGGGATTAGTTGGGCCGTACGGTATTACCAATCCATGGGCCCAGATACCCACAGTGTTGCCAAAAAAAAAGAAAAAAAAGAAAGAGTATTGCCCCCGAGGTTCTGTGAGGATTATTCACGAGCCACAGATAGGCCAATCAACGGTTCGGGCCTGAATCCGTGAAATTATTGCGAGTATGGGTATGGATTTAATTCCGTTATCTGGACCTGGATCCGGATCCATTTTGTCAAACAAAAAATGAGTCGGATATTGAATATAGTATTCCGACCCGTATTAGACCCGGATCCGAATATAAATGGATTAATAATTTAAAATATTTATATTTATCAATATAATTTGATTAGGGTAATGTATTTAAATAAAGTCAATTTGATTTATTTTCTTATTTGATTTTTTTTTTGTATTAGTGTATAAATATATTTTTTTCTCATTTTTATTAGAAATTGTAAAACTTGATAATTTTTTTGGGGTAGACCCGACCCGGATCCGGAACATAGAGTAGAAGACCCGTCAGGTAAACGGGTCGGATCCGGATCCGATTTGGTATGCCGGGTCCGGAATAATGAATTCCGCCCCGGACCCGACCCGTTGACAGGCCTAGCCACAGGCCCACAGCCTTGCACCCCTCCCCCTCCAAAAAAAAAAATTGCCCCCCAAAAAAGCGTTAATATTTTTTATAGTTGTCCCCACCATTTTTATAATGAAATATTGAAATGAAATATATTAGATGATGCTATTTTTATTTTCTTTCTAACAAATTTTATTGAGTAAAATATATTTATTTTTTTCTAACAAATTTTAGGGCAAATTACATATTACCCCTATAGTTTAGTGTTTTTATACATAACCCCCTATAGTTTCAAAAACTATACATAACCCCCTCATAGTTTGGATTAAAGTGTTGATAGAAATGATCATTCGTAACGGAACCTTTAAAAATGTCAAAATGACCCTTGTTTAAGAATTAAAATGGTTGAAGTGACCAAAATATATAAACATAATATACATAACACAATAACCCTGTATGATTTTATGTTTTATCATATAGCCCCTTTATGGTTTAATGTTTTATCATATAACCCCCTTGTGGTTAATAAATAATTTTCAACTATACATAGGTGAATTTTTGACATTTTAGGTGGTTTTGTTATGGATTACAAATTCTGTTACTTTGACATTTTAATTTAAACTATGAGGGGGTTATGTATAGTTTTTGAAACCAAAGAGAGGTTATGTACAAAAACACTAAATCATAGGGAGTAAAGTGTAATTTGCCCCAAATTTTATTGAGTAAAAAAAAAATATGATTAATCTTCCATAAACTGACCGTGTATATATTATCATCATTGAATACATGATATATAATTTGAATTTAAATTTGAAACCCCAGTTTTATGTATGTATCATGTAACCAACTGTAATAGTATATACAGTATATTGACTCAAAAAATATATCAGGATCATTTTGACAACCTCTCGAGTACACCTACTTATGCAGTCTTGACACGTCATCAAAATTCCACTTAATTTTTGTCTTATTAATTGCTTCCCAACTCTCTGTAACACTAAGAAACCACTGAGCTTAGTTCAGTGGCCACCAAGGTGGGTCTTAAGACCCTGCTTGGGTTGTAGGTGAGAATTCAAATTTCACTTGTAGCAAAAAAAATTCAAGGGTTGTGCCAAAACACTCCCTTGAATCTAATAAGGTCTGTGTACCTACTAGTCACTAACACAAAACCTCGTTAGGTTCCTCCTCCCTTGTAGTTTAGGATAGATAGATTATACAATAGTTCTCGTCTCCGGAAAAAAAAAAAAAAAAAAAAAAACTCTCTCTAACACTAAGCACTCCTTAGCAATTTTTTCTTGTTTCCTTTTTACTTCAGATTGCGCTTCCTGTTTCCTTTTTTTTTCACCACTAAATCTTTAGATTTTTGCTTTGTCATTTGACAAATTCTTAAAGTACAAAATTAGCGAAAGTTCAACATCACATAAAAAAATAATTTAATTTTAGACTAATAATAGACTACCTCTTACACTTTTGACTTTTATTCATTTATATTTATTTTTTATTTTATTTTTTATCCTTTTGTAATTTTGCGTAAGCCAACTTTTCTTTTTGTACCAAAATCTGGGTAAGCAGTTATTTAAAAACTCAAAAAGATAAAAAAAAATAGAAAAAAACTTGGGTAAAAGTCAATATAAGTCAAACATGTAGGATTTAGTTTATTATTAGTCTAAAATTAGGGTCTGCTTAACGTGATGTTTAATTTTTGTCGATTTTGTTGTTTTAAGAGTTTAAAAAAAGAAAAAAAATAAGAATATAAATATTTGGAGGAAAAAAAATGTAAACAAGGAGCCCAAAAAAGGGGGGGAAATAGCTGATGGAAAATACGGTATATTAGGGAGTTAGAGTGGCACTAGGAAATGAGGGAAGGAATTAATAAGACAAAGATTAAGTGAGATTTTGCTGACTTGGTAAGGTTGGATTAGTGGGTAGAATAAAAGCTTTTTTCAGCATCATCCTAACCTACTTTTTACTCAATTTTAAATACTTAATATTAATTTTTTTTATATGTCAAACCATATGAATTACAATTGAACCAAATGTTTATTAGACAGCTTAATTATGTACATTTTATGCCGCCTATTGTAAATACCAAAATATACGTCTAGTAAGATCTATGCATAATCTTAATCATTACACACTTTTATTCATAATTTTAATTAGGGATAATTTCAAAAACCTACCCTGAGGTTTCTGACAATTTCAGACAGCTCCCCTCATGTTTTGAAAATTACACATACCTCCCCTAGAACATAGGTTTGGGTTTCACCTTGATGATGTAAGACCAAAAAAGTATACGAACGCTCAAAATTGCCCTCATTTAATTTTCAAAATATGAATAGTCATTAAAATATTTTAAAAATCAAGAATACACTTGTATACTACAAAATTATGAGTTTTATTACTTAGCCAATGTCCTGATATTTTCCATCCCATGGTTTTCTACATCTACCCAAAATTTCAAACTCTTATCACTTCTTCTTTTTTTCGAACAAGATGCCAAAATCCACCATCATAATTCTTATCTTTATAATCTTTACCTCTCTATAGGTTTCTTCCATATATTGCCTACCAAACCGTTAGTCATAAAACTCACAATCCTTACCTTTTTCCCACTCAAACAGCCAAGCCCCTCAATTACCAAAATTCTTCCTTTTTTGAGTGATAGAAGATTACAATTTAATGGTCATGGGTGAAACAGTTCGGTCACAATATGTGGCTTGGTCAAGAAGACTTGTTTTCTCTTTTTTTTTTGTTATCTTTTTTATCAATGGCTTGTCTTTGAAAAAATTATTATAGTCATTGTCTATCATCAAGGGAGGTAAGTATAATATTGAAAACCTCAAGGGAGCTCAATGAAATTGTTACAAACCTCAGGGGTGGTTTCTGAAATTATCCCTTTTAATTATTATGTAATTTTATATCATTAGATGATCTGATAACTATTCCAAATAAAAACGAGTTGTAGAGAACTTTTTTTTCAATTTTTTTAATATTGAATAAATTGTTGTACTTACAATAAACTTTTAGTTTTACTAAAAGACTAAAATACTAAGTTTATGCTAATATTTTTGCATCCTATGAACAAAGATCCTGGTTTCGTAACTGGATATATATGCTGCTATCAGTGCTCCTCAGTAGGAAATTTATCATTTCTTAGTTTTCACATGATTCCTGGATTATATTTCAGCAAATAGAATAGCTTTTATATTTTTTTTTATTGACAACAATAAAATAGAAAAAAATAACTCATAAATAAATATAATAAAACGTTGACTAAGAAGTAAGAACTAAGAAGAAGTCAGAGTACAACTTGCCGCACACGGTCAAAACATTTCAAACTTTTGCCGCAATCGAACCTCATTTGATCATTTGGACATCGGAAACCTAACAAACCCCTTCTGAAATTTGTCAACGCTTGAGATAATAGTACTATATTACCAGCACCATGTGTCTTCAGATCACCACGATTATTAACAAATACTTGTGTCTGTATCTAAACAAGAAATCTGCACTCCTTCAATGGATATTTTTTGCGCTCATTTGCATTTTTCATGTGTGTTGGTGTATCCTTGGTTTGGGAGCACTTTATTTTTTTTGCTTCACGAGATTTGCGCCTTGTTTAAGCTCAAGAATGTGACCAAGTTGTAACAGTAAACTTCCAGTTCAAGAATTTCCAGCTCTAAAGTTAATCTGAAATCAGTTTTAAGCAAAACTTTTTGCATATGTATCAGTCAGGGTTCAACTACTTCAACAAGCCCATTTCATGGTGGAGTCATAAGATCATTGTTGAATTGTATCCTTTTTGAGGTTTCCACCCCTGATTCAATCCTGGGATTTTCCAAGTTTTCAGATCCCACATCAATATTCATTCTTGGAATCCAATCCCAGGTAACAATTTTGAGATCATTGCCTTGCAACTCAATGCATTTATGTTAAGCTTTACTGCTTGTTATCCTATTAACATTTGCATTCAGAAATTTTTAAAGTGTTGCTAAGGGGCAAGTCTTATATATATTATTATGCAATTAGTTCTAAGCACTTCCGTCATATTCAATTAGGGAAATCAAAGATGGCCAAGACTTGTTGCCCAAAGCCTAGATTAGGCAGAATAATTGGCTGGCTTCAGATTATTCTGGGAGGGCTGGTGATTTTGGTTAGCTTATCGAGTTTATTTAGGTTCTACTCGGCTGGATTTTTCTATCATAACGAGGATATATGCCGCCATTTTTATGCAGTAAAAGATTCATATGTGAACTTTGATGTTAGAGCATTAACTGCTCGAATGGATGAAGTGCTTAATAAGATGGATAGCCTGCAGATTAAGCTTGAAATGGCTGTTCAGCAGATGGAAAGAAACAAAGGTGACCTTAGAGAGAGCAATATTTCGAAATTAGAGTATAAGAGATATCTGGAGGAGGAGGTGATTAGGCCTCTTTATAGTGCTCATATTGCTCTTAGGCAAATTAGGCTGCCTCGTATTGAAGGGAATGATACTAGTAATGTCAAGGAGGATCCTTTGATCAATACCTTCGTTACTGAGGAGATTAGGAAGTATATTACCCCGAAAGACAACAGAGTTGGGAAGGTTAACATCTATGGAACAGGGAAGATATATAACACTATAGGGCATGCTTGCGTTTCCATGAAGAAAGAATTGCAAGAATACATGGATTATGACATTGGATCATATTGTAAAGATGATTGGAACTTGGCACAGAAACTTATGGTGAATGGTTGTGATCCCTTGCCCCGGAGGCGTTGCTTGACAAGGGCTTCTAAGCTCTACCAAAGGCCTTACCCGATTAATGAGTCCCTTTGGAAAATCCCTGATGGTAGAAATGTAAGGTGGAGCAATTATCAGTGCAGGAACTTTGAGTGTTTGTCGAGCAAGAATCCTAAACGAGGCTATTCCAAATGCACAGGATGTTTTGAAATGGAGAAGGAGACGCTTAAGTGGGTAACAAATACCTCACTTCCTATTGATTTCTTGATTAAAGATGTTCTGGCCATCAAACCAGGTGAAATAAGGATAGGACTCGACTTTGGTGTTGGTACCGGTACATTTGCTGCAAGAATGAGAGAACAGAACGTCACAATTGTCTCCACTGCTCTGAACCTTCGGGCTCCTTTCAATGAGATGATTGCACTCAGAGGTTTGGTTCCTCTCTACTTGACATTGAATCAAAGGCTACCATTTTTTGATAACACCTTGGACTTGATTCACACAACTGGATTCATGGATGGCTGGATTGATTTGCAATTGTTGGACTTCATCCTATTTGATTGGGACCGTATCTTGAGGCCAGGAGGCTTGCTGTGGATTGACAGGTTCTTCTGCAATAGGAAGGATCTTGATGACTACATGTACATGTTTCTGCAGTTCAGGTACAAAAAACACAAGTGGGCAATTTCTCCTAAATCCAAGGATGAAGTATACCTATCCGCATTGCTAGAGAAGCCTCCTCGAGCTTTGTGATCAGACTCTGCTTTCACCTTTTCTCTTCCTTTGTTTTGTACTGATAACATAAAATGTTTAAATCTGTATGCTTCCATTGTTATCAAATACAGAAACAACGTGCTGCCTTAGTTACAATGCAGCACTTGCCATCTACCAAATTCAATGGTGCACCTGCAAATTGCTGAGCGATATAGCATGTTAATGTGCAGAAATCTAGCCTTGCATGTGAATTCATGAATAACCAGAATGTTAACAAAAGGTGGGATATGAACATTACTTGATATAGTATCCATTTCAGGGAGGTTCACTTCATCTTGACTGCTCTATCCCTGTGCTACAAAAGAATCAGCTGCATTCTATATTATGATTTCTGAAATCAAACACAGAAGGCAGTCTAAAATATTGAAAACCTCAGATGGCAAAGGGTATTAATCAGGATGACACGCCAATATCAGAGGAAACGGTTAAACTCCTGAATTTTCACTACAAATCACCGCAGCTGCTAGTTTCATCTTCTGCAATACACTTCCTGTTATCATTATTTTCTTTATATAAGGGAATTTCATCCATTGGAGAAGTGTTTCACCCTCCCATTTCACTCCACTACCAATATCTGCTTTTTCTCATAGAATTAGAGAGAGGGAGTTTTCTCCAATTCTGCAGAGAATATGAACTTCTCAAGCAGTTTCAAAGTTGAAAAGTTTAAACAAGATCAGTTAAAACAAGTTGCATATTTTGATCTCTGAAATTAGTTTGGTCAACAGGTTTATGAGCCCAAACCCCAAGCAAGCATTATATTTGGGCCAAATATTGGATTAATAAAATGGTCATCATGGAGCAAAGATTTACATGAAAGAGAAGCCCAAAACTTTAGATAACAATAAACATGCCCTTGGACCACCAAGTCAATTTCTCATTGTCAATGATCACACTAATTAATGGGCCTAACCTAGGCTTTGAAGTATGAATTGTTTGGATGAGTCAAAATTTACAAAAAATTTGTTAATTGCATCATAAATATTTCTATTACCCATATATTTTATCTTTGATCACCTTTTTGTCGCATCGCATCACAAAAATATTATAGTATTATTTTTAAAAATTTCTTAAATAATCTTCTATGCAATTGAATTGATTTTTCTCAATAGACTTAATAGGTCGTACGATCAAGAGAAACCATAAATTTATAAACACTTTTCAATACTAGGTTGTAATTTATTATTGAAAGTGATCAAATGAATAAGGGCAAAATGGGGCTGAAAATGTTCTATGACTTGTTCATTGGCTCAAATAGTCGAGCAAATGTCACAAATTGTCACTAAGCAATTTAATATTCCCTATTCTGTCCACTCAACAATTTATTATGTCTAAATGGTCATTCAATTGATTAGAATATACATTTTGTAATAAAAAAAGCTTATGTTTCATTAGTTAAGTGACTAAAGGTGAAAGTATTTATTAGTTAAGTGGAAAAAAAAACTTTTTTATTAGTTAAATCGCTACTTTGGGCAAACAAAAAGTTTGATGAGCAAAACTGATACACAAAATAATTTAGTAACTATTTTAACCATTTCCTCTAAATACTCTAGTAAACTAAATCTCAGTTTAGGATTAAGTACTCTAATAAATTAAGAATTAATCTTCTATATACCGACAGTGTCAGTGTATACACTTTCACCATTAGATACATGATACATAATTCGAATTTGAATTTGAAATCCAAATTTTGCATGTGTTGTACATCCAATCGTAATAATGTATGCACTGTTAATATATATATATATATATATATATATATATATAAGATTTTCTCATAAATTAAATGCTCTACATTAGTTCTTCACAAGATGGGCATAAGAAACGGAGCAAATGGTTCGACAAATAAAACTTTTACATTAATCCTCTAATGTTTTCATTGAATGCTAGCATGAAAACTCCCCATCTGGTTTGCCTATTTTTTCCTTGAGCAAGAGATTGAAGGTTTGTGTTCAGTTAATCTTTTTTTCTCTCTCTTTTTTCAGCTCAATCAACATGAGAGGTTGGGGATATGGAGAGCACTAAAGAAAGCACTCAAACTTGGTACGCCAAAACATCAGTCTTGAATTCTTGCATGAACATCGATCCATGGTGATTAATGGGGTGACAAGAAGGGTGAAAGTTGCCTGTGCTAGGGCTTTCAAAGACATCCTTGAAAAAATTGTTGGTGAAAAGTTTTCTGGAGGATCTAGTGGGCACCATAGTATTTCGACAGCTAATAAAGCGGCCCCTATATATAAGTAGGACATATTTGAGTTAAAAATAATGAGGTTCTTGCAATACTGGCAAAATTTTGGAATCCAAAATCATTCCAATGTTACCCTGTTGAGTGTTTAAAAGGCATATGGTTGAATCAAAACAGACTTCAATTTTAACCCTTCATTGAGTACTTTAAAAATATATATATACTTCAATCATAATGGCTTATTTTGATTTTAACTCTATCTCCTGATAGTATTCGTCTAAAATTGCGTTGGATCTTTCCTGCAGCATAATCTATAGCTAGAATCAGATCTTCTTGATCTAAAAGCACCCGAAAGTAAACTCTAGATTTTCACTAATGGGAGTTGTTAAAAGATAAAGTCCAGGTTTATGAAGAATAATCATCTAGCATTAATCAATTAAGCTTAACTCTTCAAAAGCAAGATGTCAAAAATATTTGTTAGGTAAACATTATAGCAAATGGCCCTTAATACTGGAAAGCACGAGTGAAGTTGCTCTTGTCCTCTTCTATTGTTATTAATGACCTTTTTTTAGGACTTCTTCTTCTATTATTTTACTTCCTTTTGCCAAATATCAGTTTTCTTTATGTCTACAAACTACAAAGGGTGCCACATTCCCTAAGCTTTAAAAGATTCCCCACCTATTTCTTCGACAGTTGCTTCCACATTATCAAAAGCTCAACCTAGCAGTGGAATATTGTTCAGCAGTCATTGACACAGAAAACGCAAAAAAAAATATCAGATTTGGTGGACTGTTACTATAGGAATACTGTCAATCGTACGTTTATAGAAATTTACTAGATTTCTAGCCACTTTTTCAATTATATCTTTGGTTTCACATTATGCTTCAAGATGCAACCTCATAAAGTATCTTATTAGCCTTCTTTTCCTGCTAGAGATTATACGTATAATGGTACATGCAAAAGTCCTTGAAAGTTTCTTGAACAATAGATGATTCTATGTGGATCCAGATTTTATCCACATCAACTTTTCTACAAAGACATAATAAAATTTTTTAGTTCAAGAGGAGATTTTAAAGCTTATAAACATAAATGGAAGAGAGAAAGGTTCAAGAATCGAGTCAAGAATTTCAAAGGTCACCTATTAATGTTCATACCAGCTAAACTGGATTTTGGAGACATATAAAAATTTCATTACACTACGACTTTAATCCAATCTGAGATGAAAATCAATGTCTGACTACCTTTCACAGGCATTCTATACCTATCACTTTTACTTTTATGTTTTATTCCAAGAATAAACACGTTGAAATTGATTATGATTATTAGTTCACAGCTTTTACGGGCTTTGCCAATCAGCTGCAGGCATTAGTACCTTCCTTCATGATATATTTCAGGCACACAAATTATTTTGCATACAATATATCTCTCAGAAGCTAAACGTATCTGAGAGCCATTTGAGTAGGGTTCGGGAGGGAAAGAATCTGAATAATTACGACAGCCATTTGAGTGGGGGCTGAGGTGTTTTGAGGAGGGGGGGGGGGGAGGAGGAGGAGGGTGTTTAATACTCTGAAGTCTGAAGATCCTCAAAAGACTGTCAAGCTTAGGGTTCTTCATAGTCCCTTTATGGGTTTCACCAAAAATCATTAATATAATATAGATGGGAACCCTATAAAGTTGTAAACCCTAGATCTGTCAATAAGAGAAGCATTGTGCATCATTAGATTACTCTTTTGACTCCACCTTTTAGAACAAGGTAGATAGTAAAAAATAATAACGCTAAAATATCCTTCATCAAGAAGACAAAATCAACAAATGAGATCTATGACTATATATGAGAATCTTTCTTTTAAATAAGGGTAACGTGAATGTACCATTTTGTCAATTTTCAGGCCACACCTTTGCTAGGGTACTATCGAAGAAACTTACTCGAAAATGCTTTAGTAAAGAAAAAAGGTTTTAGTCCATTACTTGGAAAACATGGGAAGGCAATCATCAGGGCTTAAACGTCACCTCTCAACTACTTATATTTGGTTCTTGATATTGTTCCTTTTACCCATTTACTCTTTAAAAGCAATGATCTATGGTTCTTGATATTGTTCCTTTTACCCATTTACTCTTTAAAGGCAATGATCTATGGCAAGCGTGGGGTTGGATCGAAGCATAAAGTGACTCTGCAAATCAATGTCAAAGGCTCCAATGAAACCCTTTCATTGTCTCTCTTATTTCCTTTTCAAGGTGTTTAAAGCACGATAAATCAGCATCAATTAGAGGATCCTGAGCATGTTCATAGCTTTCGATTTAGCATTTGGTCTCCAATTTCAATGTACATGAAGCCAAAACTCGAAATTGAAGCTAGTTATGTTCGAGATTGATTGAGAATGAATCAACCTCTGTAACAACAATAAATAATCTCTTTTCATATCAAATTGCAGTCAATCAGCACACAGTAAATTCACGTGTTAACATGTTGTGTTCATTATGAAACTAGCAAATAGGGCAATTATCTATCTCGTTTTACTCAATTTAGCTCCTCGAATTGTGGATTCTTGCGCAATTTGGAGGTGAAATACGTTTTTATGTTTTACTTTCTCTGGTAATCCACATAGATAATGCTTCACTCCCATCGAATAGGGCAAATTAAAGCACTAGAAGTGTTTTCTTCGTAAGCAATATGGTTTAGGTATTCGATATTCTTTACAAACTTTTAGCTATTCCATCTTAAAAAACGAAAGGAATACAAGTTATTGAGCTCATCACAAGAATCAAGAAGTTGGTCTTAATTATTCAAACAATATAT